CCGAAAATAAAGTTTCAATGAGACAGCAAGTTCGCAGTTACTGTCCGTCATGTCACATGTGAAATGCTGACCCACGGGTAAGAGCAGAAGTTCTCTACAACTATAACACAAAAGCATTAGCACAGAAGTAGGAAGCTGAAGGAGAGGAAGAGCAACAGAAGAACAGGAATCCAATTCCATCCCTTCCCCAAGAAAAAAAACAAAAACAAACCCACACCGATGAGAAGAACTAGAGGAAACTCGACCTTTGGATCTGCAAAGATACACTTCCCTAGAAACTACATATTTTGCAAGGGAAAGCAGAAGCCATGTTTGCTTAAAAAAACCAAAACAACCAAAATCCCATACGTAATTCTCAACAACCACCAAAGTCAGTAACGCACCATTGAACAGCCAGACAAAAAAAAACTAAAAACCACAGGAGTCAGTATCCATTTAAAGCTTTTATTTTTAAAAAAGGCCCAAAATTCACAAGCCTACAAGGAAATTTAAACAATCTCGCATCACCCAGTCTCAGAGCTGAGAGTGTTTGGAGCGCAGAAAGCACCAAAGAAAATCATCCCAGGTCAGGGACAGGTCACAACCCGCTGTTTCAGCTCCCTAGATTGTTCTTCAGCAATCAGAACTATTATCCAAATTAGTCCCGGTTTAGTCTTTCAGGAACACAAAAGAAACCTTTGCTGAAAAGCATCTTGAAAAAAAAATCTTAAGATCACGAGTTGCAGGTCTATCCCAAGTATAACATAACGTCTCTGTTAGAACAAACTCTTTCCTCTGCAGTCAAGCGATGCGTCAAAAGGTTCTTAAGCATTTTGTGGCACACAAGGACTCCCTGGAACCGGCCAAGGGCTGCTCCTTGTCCTCCACAGCAGCTCTGCGCTCAGCGTAGGAAGAGCTCCAGCAAGCCAGATACTTTCATCTTGCTCAGTAAGTTTAGCTTAGTTCAGGAAAAGTTTGTCCCATTAGTTAAGTGAGTCTTTACCATTAATAAAAACAGAGTTATTGGGAACTAGCTAAAGAGTCTTCTGCTGAAATGATGGGAGACAGCGACGTTTCATCATTAAGTTGAACACCTTACCCACCGAAACCCACACTTCAGTTCATTTTTCAGTCACAGTCTCTTAAAATTCCATCAATCTTCACATTAATCAGGGCTTACAAGAGGTTATTGCTAGTATTAAATTCCAGGGCTAGCACTTTTTGACCTGCAATATTAGTACTGTATAGTTTAGTTTCCTCTGAAATAGGTAACTTCTGTTATGTTTTTCTATAAGAAAAAACAACAAAACAAAACAGACCATTTCCAACACAGCGACAAAGTTGTCCAACCTGAGAGGCTAAATAACCCACACCCACATCGAGGCTCATTTCCAGTTTGATCACTGAAGCAAAGCTTTCCCACCTCAGACGTTACCAGGCGGTGAAAAGAGATCAAATCTTGGCTACTGACTCAAGCCACTCACCGACTATTTCAGACCAGAGGGTGCAGCACGTAGCTCAAGCCAGATGCTTCTTCACGGGAATCTGCGTTATTGACCCACGGTGCAGAGGGGGAGCTTAAGGCAGGGATTTTAAAAATTGGATCTACGCTTGCAGAAAAAGGTGGGGTGCATCACTGGTTTTGCTGTGGCGGTTGTCAGTACCGCAAACAAAGTTTTGCGCGTCAGGAACTCCAAAGTTACTTCTGCTTTTACTACTTCAACACGCTTCTGTGCGCCATTGTCGATAAATAGGAAGAGTACGTATCTGGTAGCTGCAACAAAAAATAAAATTTAAAAAAAAATCAGGCATCAAAATAAGCCTGCTGCTCAACTTATTTGGTTCGTCAGCCATTGATTCCTTTTTAATTTTCCTCACTGGATTTTTAATTACCATTGGTGAGACTTCATTGCTGAGAGCATATTATTTAGAATTTTCATCAGAGCTCGATTCGCTGGCTATTTGAAACAACAAGCCAAGTTCTTCAAATAAACACCTTGTTGTTCTACTCTTAGCAATTAAACCCCTTACTTTGTTACTAATACCTGAGCGCCTAGTCTGGAGAGGTATTTATTCCTTAAACTAAAGTCATCAGCTTTTGGCCGTAATTTAGCCAAGTCATCTTCATTTTGACGTCTGAGTCTCTCTTGTTCTTCTGCTCTGGAAAAGAAAATTGGTTTAAGATATTCACACTGAGGAGAGCAAGCCCAAGCAACTTCTTCTTGCGTATGTGGCTTTATTTTTAGTAATGAGAACATGCTCATGTTTACACATAAATACAGGATATGTTATTAAAAGACTAAGAGGTGTACATGGATCACTCTAATTCAGTGCAAAGAAAGAGAGAGGCCGTTTTCTGCAGTTTCCTTTTATTTCCATTGCATGACTTCAGTGGAAAGAAAAACTTTTTTGCTTTCACAGACGACAAGACGCTCGGTGAACTCTTGTAACAATTTTTTTTACTCGCTCTTTATTAAACCAGCTTTCACTCCTGAATTTAAAGATTACAATACAAAAAGAACCGATCGTCAAAAATGCAAATAGACTGCTCAGCAGCCTCCAGAATTACCAGCAGTCTCCTCCAAAAGAGTCAACAGCTGACCAGAGCGTTGTCTCTCTTTTTCCGTATGTCTCAAAGAGAAACTGAACCAAAGAAAGCTCTAAATAAACTTGGCTTAAGACAGTGGTTTGCATTAAGACAGCGACAAAGGCAGTGACAGCGACCCATCTCCCAGCTCTGTAAGGCAACAAGAAATCACCACCACCAGAAAAAAACCACTTTATACTCGTGTTTATCTCAGGATGAACACGTTTGTCTCAAGCTGCAGAGCACTCATCTCCAATGACACAGCTTAAACACGGCACACAACTCTACTAACCCATCCTGGTGCAATTAAGAGATGATTTGGCATTCGTTAAAACCGGTTACAAGGTGTCAAATTTAGCCGTTTACTGTAAAATCCCCCCTGAGTGTTAGTTTCTTTTCCAAAGAGCTACTGTGCAGAGCGAGCAAACTAAACACCACTACAGTTCTTCGAGGTGGCATGCTGCTGATCAAACGCTCCCCACTTCTGGATGACATTTGCTATTCAAATTTCTTTTCTGAAAGAAACATCGTAACAAAAATTACTCAAAAGGCTCGTTCTAAGGCACTACATGCCGCAGCACACACTAGTACAAAATCATCTTTCACAGCGAATACTCGAAGTGTTTCATCTCACGTGGGCCAGGCAGATCAAAAAGCAGCTCTGCTTGGACACAGAATTCTTTGGCTCCGGGGTACAAGGTTTTTTGGAGTGTTTTTTTCTTGTTGTTGTTGCATTCATATTAAAAACTGGCTGGCACCTTTTGGTTTAAGACCGTGACTCATCACAACTAGGTTAACGTGCTCACCACGTGTCTGGTGAGGTTTTAGTTTTGCTGAGGTACAAAACCGACAAATTCGGACAAGAAACAAAACCGTGTTAAACCCCACAAGTCACCTGGTTAAACCTTGCTGATGTGTTTTGGGCTTTTTTTCCGGACTAACCGAAGCATCACTACATGGACAGTTACACAGCCCAGCTTTAGAGAAGTCCCTAAGCTCATTTTTAAGAGATGTCTTCTCAGCAAAGTATTTATCTGGAACTAACTTTTATATGTAAGCTGTGAGATGTGTTAACACCTGCAGGTGAAACACCGTTACCTACTAAAAAGTGAAGAAATGGACCAACATTGCAAGCAAACGAACTGCAAGATCTGAAGAGCCTCGCTGAGCCAAATTAGGCCAGAACAAAAAGCAATTCAAAAGAAAAAAAAAACAAAACACAAAACTGTGTTGTTCACATCCAGCACCTTGAATTCTGCAGATGTTATCTGGAAAGCTGTGACTTGCTGCATGCTGTCTTTTTTCACAGAACAAATACTAAACTAGGATTGGAATCTTGAAATTTCTACTTCAAAAAAGCAGTTTTCCTAAAGAGGTAAATAAATAAGGGAGAAGCTGGAGCAGGAGGGTCTTTTGTTTTGCCTTTAAGGTGACACCTCCCAACAGCCTTCACCATACAACGTTTTTTCTCTCCTCCTCCTCTAACACAATTATTTTAAAAATTATAAATTCAACTCAGCATTTGACTCCCTGGTACTGCATCCCACAACTGCCAAGAGCTCTGTCCCTTATTTAGCCTTCTCAGACAGCAAACAAAAAAGCAAGGACACTTCCTACTGTGCAGAGGGGATAAATCCAGCCCCTACAACCCCGGGGACATCCCAACAGCAGGCGACTGATACCGTTACGTTTGATCAAACACTCTTAAAAAGGAGCACTCAATTCCAGCTGCAGTGCTCTGCACTGCCACAGACCCTTAGCGTGTCACCAATGTTTTGTCAAGACCAAAGAAGAGAATTTCCCAAGTTTCTATTCCAAAGAGGGTCGCCGTGCTTATTTTCTGCAAGGAGGAAATCAGGGCATACCAGTTTCCCACAGAATAAAATTTGCTTAATTGAATGAACCATCCAAATTTGCTTGTTTCAGTAAGTTCTGCCTTAAGGCCACCTCTAGTGCACCAGTTCCTTTTAAAGGAAGGGGATTTCACTTTCTTCCAACAACCTTTCCCCATTTTCTTTCTAAAAACTGAAGCTGAACCTGAAGAGGAGCGACTGGGATGTAATTTCTTCTGAAATCTAGCTGTTAAAGACACTTAAAATCCATCCATGCATTACCTGACATTAAATCTACATAATGTTTGCTGCTGACTGGGTGAGATACACACCATTTAAACGAAGCACATTTTTAATTGATACAGCATTTTTTACACACACTTCAGTTCCACTGAAAGAAATAAAAATCACAAGGAACTGTGCTAATTGCTACTTCCTTTAATTTTTCATTCACAGGAGGCAAGAAAATGAAATCCTAGTACTAACTGGCAAGAAATAAAAATAACATTCGATACAAATGGCAGACTTACAAAAGAGACTGACTTCAGACAGCAATCTCCTTCATTACTTCAGATTAAACATAAGGACACCGTCCTTTGTACTTACTCAGTTGCAGCGACTTTTTGCATTTTTTCCCTTTTCTTTGCAGACCAGTTGAGATCACCACCTGCGACAGAAGTAACGGACACTCTGAAACTTTAAATTGGTCTTTGTGTATTACATCTTCCATATTACACCTCACTACAGAAGTTCCCACTTCCCAAAACAAGGAGCAGGGTCATTTTAGGTTATTAGAAACAGAAGTAAAGAGAAAGAGCAACGTGCTTATCGTCATCTAAGCAAGCAAAATCAGGACCCAAACTAAGCTCTCAAGCCTGAACCAGTTTTCTGTTGAGTAACAATGAAGTTTCTCTACTTTACCATAATAACCCATATCATGAGAACCTGAAAATACTTACTTACCCGTGAGGTGATTCACAAAATACAGCATGACTACAGCTATTAGTGACACTGAAAAAACAAGAAAAAAACCAAATATGTTTAGTTAACAAAAGAAAAGTTTTAACATGCAAAGCAACAACTAAGATTTTTCATGGAGGTAGTTACCGAGGTGAGATTTTTGCCAGTAGCGCCTCAATATTCTTTTAGTTTTAGTTATATTGACACATATATATATATATATCTCTCTCCTTTAAGAGTATTATTCGCCTACCCTTTCACTCATTCTTTTTTTTTTTTTTAAACACACAAATTATTTGCACTAAATCACTTCAAGAAAACGACAAAACACTTCATTAGGTTGGAGTTACTTTCAACATTGCCGCTCGCTCAAACTCCAAACTACAAGAAAGGAATTATTACTGTTGTACAGGCAACATTAAGACAAAAAGCCCGGTAAAGTTTCCTGAACACACAGAATCCATTCTCAATGTTTTTAATACTTACAGCAAACACATGCACTGAAGAAGACTTCAAGAAACAAGTAGCCCCTCGTGTCCAGAATCATCCCAGCTGCTATAGCGATAATGGCCAGACCCAGATTCTGGATGGACTGCATGCTAACAGAAACAGGGGATCCGTCACCACCGCGCAGAAATTTATTTTTAAAGAAACCATTGCTACCAGTACCGAGCCAACAACGAGACAAACTTCCCCCCAGTTGTTACAACAAACGACGGAGTCCTGACTCTGCGTTTTTACACAAGTTCCTGCACACACTCTCCTGCACGAGGTTTCCTGCCAGGCTGAACTCAGAGGAATTAGTAACCATGAAGATGTTACAACTGCTTGATATTCAGGAGTATCAGGACATGGTCAGCTGTAAGTACTTACAAGCCATAAGCAGTTCCCAGCTGGTGTTCTGGAACAACAAAGGCCACCATGGGCCACAGGGCACAGGCAAGCAAGGAGTACGCCACTCCCAGCAAACACTGGGGAGAGAAATAGGGACAAGGAAACAGATGGTAGATGAGATGCATTGTTGCTTTAAACTTCTAATAGATTAACATCCCAGTTTTCTCCTTCTCCCATAAGAGAGAAAAAAAGAGCTGAAGCAACACCTTTTGCAATGTTGTTCTGAATAAAAATGCACATTTAGAAGCAGAGAGAACTTTTTCCAGGAATGAACCACAGGCTAATCCCTAACTAATTAGTATTGAATACCCAAAGGAAAAGATCAAGGCTGCAACTCACTAGAAGAATACCAGAAAAACAATGATCTTATTTTTTAAACCCTGATACATTGGTGAGCACAGTATTTAAGCCTGTAAACCTTAGTTTAAAAGCAATTTCTCAGGGAACCTGCCCTAGGAAGTGCAAATCAGAAACAAATATTTTGGTTAAGGTTTACCACTATCCAATACAGCACGTTAGAGACAGTTTGAGAAGTAAGCTTCCGAACTATATCAGAAGAACACAATTTAGGAGAAAAGCAAGCACCTAGCACAGTATGTCCTCCTTTAAGTCAAGGATATCAAAATAAGAGCATGAGGACTAAACAGACAGTGGCAAAATAATTCAGCAACAACTCCATTTCTTCTTTTATCATATTTAGCTATAAGTCTCAGAGAATTACTTACCATGGCTATCCAGGGGTTCCAGAAGGTAAAAGCCAACATAATATGGGAAGCAAGTGTAGTTATTACGGCACATAAAACCCAGATGATGTTCTTTCCAACTTTATCCACCAGGAATCCAAAGACTGGGGACATGGGTGCTGATATGATATACACAATACTAAGGAAGAATAAAAAGAATTGAACGTTATTTAGCCACTGGCAGTGTTACATGTTACCCAATACAAGCATCTTCAGATGAAACATCGTGTTCCCTCGTCACCTGTGAGGCTGTAAGAAAAACCCCAGAAGTCTCCTGTCAACCCTCACCCCAAATAACAGACTCCAGAACTCAAAGCTCCCAAAGGGTCTGCGGACATGAAAACATTCAAGGAAACAGCAACATACTCACAGCTCTTGGAATCACACACCAGCAAGTGTTTTGCTGAGGGATTGGAGTTGTTTGGTTTGGGTTTTTTGCCAGAACAAAAATTCATCTTCAATTCAGGAAAACGGACTTTGCTTACTGCCACTATTAAACTGCTTCTATCCTTCAGAAGGGAATCACCAAATCTCCTGCTCTGGAGACTTTCAAACCCCACCTGGACGTGTTCCTGTGTGGCTGCCCTGGGTGACCCTGCTCTGGCAGGGGGTTGGACTGGATCATCTCTAGAGGTCCCTTCCAACTCCACACATTCTATGAATCTATGGCTTTATGAAACACCAAAATAATACCCTTCACAGAGCCTTTTCGCTCCAGTTCCTTGACGTGAACACCTACGACATTTTTATTAAATAGCTACACCTCCCATTTATTCCTTGGGCCACTTAAATGCAAGTCACCAACGGCACCAGTAGATGTCAAATCTCCTCCCACGCGGTGGGAGCCCAAAGGTATGAACGCCCCTAGAACATGGCAGCGGCACATGGCCTTATCAGATTGACCACAACATACCTGTTAATTGCGCTCGCTTCTTGAGAAGAGAATCTGAACTTCTCAATAAAGAAAACCCTAAAGAATTGGAAAAAAAACAACCTGATTTAGGAAAATGCCCACTTTATGACATGAAAGCAAAATTAGGGTGGACAAAGTGAAGACAAGAGAATGTAGTTTACAGAAAACCTTTCAATATTGCTATAAAGCTAGAGCTTTGAGAAACATCACAGATCCCCATTTATAACACATTTAGGTGCTTATTAGCAGACCGTACAAGTTTTTGTCTAAGGACTACTCAAATTACACTCTGGAGAAAACATCCAGAGTACATATCCAACACGTAACCCAATACTGAGACATGAGCCATGAGCATTCTGTAAGAGACCAAAGTGAGAATATTCTTAGAACACATTTTGCACAAGCAAAAAATAAGCAGCTACGTTGCTGACTGTAAGGTCTCTCCAAGTCATCGCAGGCTTTTCCATCTCACTCAACATAAAACAGGCATTGAGCTGGGGAGATGTTTCTAACTCCAAGCATATTCAAACCCCATTTGACTGAGCCATTAAATTCCTAAAAATCAGCTTGCACCTCTCCCTGTGTTAGAGGCTGGCTAAAAGCACAGCCAAATTCAAGGGGAATAGCTGCATAAGCAAGAGACACTTACTTTCCAAGGCCAATGAAGGGGAAAACAGCTGCATAGTAACAGACACAGATTATAAATATCAGCCACAAAGACAAAGAGAAGTCCTTGACGTCGGTTAGCTTAATCACTTCACCTGGAGTGGGGCAAGAGACATCGTTTCAGTCAGCGTAAGCATATCTGAAATTCATTAACACTGAGCAAGCACTAAAGTGGTCACAAGTCATTACTAAAGCACATATTCCTGACCCTATCTACTCTCTTGTTTAAAGTTTGCACAGCAAGAATCGGTTAAGAAGATGCAAGTCCTAAATCAACAGTGCCAAAGCCAAGAACAAATCGTCTCCACCACATCAAGCTGGATGGGCGAGCTCTCTAAAGCCTCTGAAAACCTCACACAGCAGCGTTAAATACAAATTACTTTTCCAAGGAAATGTTTAATCAGCTAACAAAATTCAGGTCTGAAGCCTCCTATTACACGCTCTTACTTGGATCATAAATTTAATTTATTTTTAACTGGTCTAAACTCCTCCACATGGAAAACTCAAACCACCACACACTGGCTGCACGGTTTTGCACACCTACGAAAGATCCAAGACCAATTCCAACAGAACAAAGTACCAGTGGCAATGGCACAGATCAAACTGGTGTGTAAGTGAAAGGGTGCGCTCCAGAACAAAAGCATGAAGCCTGACTGAGGCAGGTTCAGCCACATCACTCACCTGTTTTCCCTTGCTCTTTACAAAGGAGCTTCTCTGCTCTCCTGTCCAGATAAGCAAGGATTAACGCACAGGACAGTGAAAAAAGACACGTCACACCACCTGCAAGAAGGCAACGCGACGTGTTTAGTTGTTGACCCAAGCAGTAATTTTGCTTTGAAGCACATCTAGTACAACGCTAATGTCACACCAGCTTATCGTCTGTGTAAGACTCAACAGCTGCACAACCCAAAGAACAAGGTGTAAATCCTGAAGCTTGTCACATGAGAGATCGGCCTCGAACTGGAGTACAAGCATGTAGCTACAATTATTTAAAATAAAATATCACCACCACTCCCACTCAACACAGCCAAGCTCCGTATCTGTAGCTCTTAACAACAGAAACAAAGCCTGGGCCGTGTCACCAACACTGGGGCCTTAACACTGAAGGACAGCCATACAGACCCAAACACGCTTGAGATTTTACTTTTACACATCAGAGAAGCACACGCTAGCTTTGATGGGACACCCTTCAGAAAACTTTTCAAGTCTGTCCTTTGCTCGAAGCACATCAAACAGCTCATCTCCGTAAAACGCAAACGTGAAGTCACGCGGCATTTTATGGATGCAGTAATCACACACTCTGCACGAAAATATTACCCACTGACAAGGTTTCTGAATAGCTCTTATGTCCTACTTTTTGATTATTAAGAAAGAGTTAACGTGTTGCGACGCTGTTCAGACGCAGAAGCCCACAACATCAATTCAAAATATTACTGACCTATCATGAGAGTTAACCCAAGAGTACTGGGACCAGTATACCCCAGAAGATCTTGAACTCTAGAGTATATCCATGCCATGATATTCATGTTCACTGTGCTCCCCTAGGCAGAACAGACTCATGTGAAGCATAAGATACTTAACAATTATATAAATTCAAAAGGCAGATTGCTTATTCGACAGTGTTTAAAGCGAACAGGTAAGATGCAACACAGGGAACACAAACCACCAGCAGCAGTGATAAAATTATTCCCTGCTCATTTGGTCAGTTGCAATTAACCCCTGCAACGATAATACACCATCACAAACTGAAGTTTTATACAACTCTAACAGCGTTTTGATGGAGACATTGGAATTGCCATAAAATCCACATCACACACTGCGGTAGCTCATAAACCAAGTTGAATTTAATACCACGTTAAAGTAAACAAGATTCCCACCCCGAGACACACCACAAATAAGCACTTACCCCCCCACACCTCGTACACTTCTGTCCCTAGAGAAAGGACCCAGGGCTGCAATCCCAAGGCTGACAACAAGCAGCCACCTACAGCTCAGCTGAGATGAGGCAACTCCTGAAGGGCAACAGCCTGAACATCAACCCAGACCCAGCTGTGATGAGTCAATTCTCTTTCACCAAGGTAAATAAATACCTGCAGTGCTTTAAGATACCACCAGCTGCTAAAGGATCCCTAACAGGAGAGAGGGATTCACAGCCCAGTGGATTATAGCGGAAACCCCCCTACAAGCAGCAGTTGAAGTGGTTGTATCAAACCCAAACGGTGCAGCCGAGAGGCAGTCGCAGCGTCTCTATCAGAACCAGCACCAGGGACAAAAGCATCTTACAAGAGCAGATAAGGAAGGGAGTTTCTTAAAGCAGCCACCCCCAGCAAACTGTTTATCAGAGCCTGCGCTTAATCCCCAAACCACAAACTACACTCAGTTAAACCAACTTGTTACAACACGCCAAGAACCAATTAGTGAGATGAAACAGCGCCGGGATTGTCCCTCCCTGTGACCTACCCTAAGAACAGCATCAGGCTTCTGCAGAAGCTTGGTATGTTCCAAGAAACCTTACTGACCCATTGCCACGTGTACCTTTTGTCTATTTACCGCAGCTTTTGTTACCATTTGAAATCTCAGTTTTACACTTACAATTCTGGCCATGCTCAGCTGTAATCCAAACACAAGATTTAACTCCTTGCCTTTAAACCAACTGACCGCATACGTGTTTTGTGCCACCGCTAAGGACTCTCCACCTATTCTAGAAAAGAAAGGAGGACAAAAGAAAACTTAATTGCAACATGCAAAGCAGCAGGGAAGCAGTCCGTTACTTGCTGGCAATACCAAGACGATAGTATTTCAGAGAAATAGGTAGATCTAACTCATATATATGAGGCAACATAAGTCTCAAAGACAATTCAGAAGAGAATTGTGGTGTCTTAAGAATAATGAAGCAGTCTAGGAGTGATTAGAATTGCCTTTGGTCATTTACAGAAATTAAATCCACGGGCAGCAGCTGATTTCTCTCCTGCATTAAAAAATGAAGCAGTACAGATCCTGACCCAAATGAAACCAAAAGCAGGCACTTTACCTGGAACCAGAATTTAACAGTCGTCTGCCCACCCCCCAGTACAGCTGGTCAGATTTTTTTAACATTTTCATGCTGTGGCACATTCAGAACGTGGAGGTATTTCTTCCCATATCTGCTCTCATTTTTTGCCACCGTAGAAGCCCTGTTGTAGTTGTCGTTGCCAAGAATTCTTTTTACTCAGCAAAGTCAGAATTTAGAGAAAAGGACTAACACGCTTTTATCAAATTATTGCATGTCTTTACTTGGGGAGTTTCGTAACTTCCACATTCAGTAAGATCTGCAAAGTCCTGCTTTTTGTTTTCTAATTTTAAGTTGGACCAGGAATGCATCTGAAGATTTTGCAACTTTATAGCTGCCTCAAAATCCAACAATTTCATCTCTGAGTGTAAATGTGGTAGCTGCTTCCCAGAAAGACAGTCCCTCCCTCAGAGAGCACATCGTACGCTCTTCTCGACTTACCCAAATACGAATCTGCCCATGTCCATCAGCCAGAAAGTATTGAGTAGTGCTCCCAAAGCAAAGACTACCTGCCAAATAGACATTGAAGGGAAAATTATAATTGTACATTTCAAGTATGGAAAAAAATAGAACCATTTCAAAACAAAAAAACGCTTTTCCCTTCCCAGACCTGCAGGAACACTTGGCACTTGCTTCCTACTCCGAGCTTTTAGCCTTTGCTCCTTCTGCATCCCCTATTCACCACCCTGTTGGCTCCACAACTCCCAACCTGGCCCACCCTGAAACTGCACTCAGAAAATACCTCTCGAGGCTCAAATCCTGCTTCAGCTTTATCATCATTCCCTACCCAAAGACACCCACAGAACAGCTTCAAATCCACTGGATAAGAATGTGAAGGAAATAAATGTTTTCCTTTCACTCACCTTTCAGGGTCCTCTGTCCCCAGTTATCTCATTTGTTGCCAACCACCCCCATTTAATTCACGGTTCTCCCACCTCAGTTCTCTTCACCTCCCATCTGAAACAACCACCAGCACACGAGAACCCATTTGGGCTTTTTTCCCCACTCCCAGCAGAGAAGCTTCAGACACAAATCATCCCTCAACCTATCGTTTGCACTTACCTGCCCAACACAAACAAAGATACTAAATATTATAGTGCCCAACCTGTAAGAAAAATGAAATCGCTTAATGCATAGTTAGACTCTTTGTTCCTATAGAATGTTACGTTAGGCCTACAGCAAGGGAACAAGGGAAGGTCGATATGCAATAAAAGGTTTCCATAATGAGTGCCACAGCTTCCTTAAGAAAAATCTAGTGGCACAGACTGGCATTTCTGAAGCCGCTTCATTTATCAGAGAATCACAGAATCGTTTAGGTTGGAAAAGACCTTTAAGATCGAGTTCAAACACTTGGAGGGAAGGAAGTTGGGGAAATTTCTATATTACAGGAGGAAAAAATTTGAAAAAACTTAGTATAATTTGAAAAAACTTTATATTATAAAGCCTATAGTTGACATGCACTTGAACAGCTGACCATGGGGGATACTAATATCACATGTACCTTATTCCAAAAACTCTGTCTATCAGAAAACCTCCAAAGAAGCAAAGAACCACATTGGGCCAGGAATACCAGGCGTAGAGCGACATGAACTGAGCCGTGTTCGCTTTCATATCCTACATAACGAAGAAGGGGGCAATTAAAACCCAGTAATTACTCCATACCCAGGCATAAGCCCGCTTGCTGACCGGGCCAACCGCACTTGCCTA